TTGCCTATTTCTTCTGATTTTTCTTATTGATTTGTGAGAATCCTTTATATGTTCTGGATGCCAGTTCCTGGCAGTTATATGTATCATATATTTTATGTATTTTCATATATTTTATATCATGTATTTTCCTGTTGTGATTTGCTATGGATATGCTCATGTAACTTAGGGTTAGAGTTAGGGCTGGGGTTAGGGTTAGGGTTTATAAACTTTAAAAAAATTATAATAAACCCTTTTTGATTTAAATGTAATATTAAAAGTCTTTTGTTGGTGGAATGTACTTTAAAATAACTCTTAAGACCTACAGAAAATACCACATTGCTTGTAATTATGCATTTAGATGGCAGAACAATTTAATATATTCATAATTCCATTATTTTAGGTAGGTGGTGGCTTTTTAAAAGGACCTAGGATGTTCTTTGTCAGCTTTATGTTACTATCTTCTCCATATGTTCTAACACTTATTTTATACTGCATTCTTCTACTTCTTTTCTTTCTTTTGTTTTAGAGATGGGAGTCTCACTATATTGCCCAGGTTGGTCTTGAACTCCTGGGCTCAAGCGATCCTCCTGCCCCTCAAAGTGCTGGGATTACAGGCATGAGCCACCTTGTCTAGCCTTATTTTTCTATAGAGCACTGCAAGCTCCTAAGTATTAACCAAAGTGGAGTACAAAATAAAACATTTAATAGAGGAATCAGTCTTCATGACCAGAAGAAACATCACTGGACAGGTTGACTGCTAGCTATAAATGAACTTTTTCTTACTTGTTTGAAGGCTTGGAAAGAGATGTATAATACATTTCTTTATTATTTAAAAAAAATCATTTTATTAAAAAGTACATACTTGACTGGGCACAGTGGCTCATGCCTACAATCCCAGCATTTTGGGAGACCAAGGTGGGCAGATCAGCTGAAGTCAGGAGTTCGAGACCAGCCTGGCCAACATGGCAAAACCCTGTCTCTCTTGAAAAAAAGAAAGAGAAGAGAAGAGAAAAGAAAAGAGTACATACTCCTTGACAAATACAATCAGAACAGAAAAGAACGAGAGAAAGCAGAAGTCACTCCAAATTCTACCAGCCAGGGATAATCACTGCTGTTTTACTCAGCAGGCTTCCAGTCATCTTTCTATGCTATTCACATACAGATACTCTTGCACCCTAAAAAGGGGACCGTCCACTCCACGTCACCTTTCCTTAGGGCAGGTGCTATCCAGCTGTTGTGCTCCAGGCAGCAGGAACCTGCAAGGAGATTTGCAGTGGCACCACCAGCTGCTACTCCCTTCCCCACTTTTTTTTGTTGTTGTTGTTACATTTCAAGAGAAAGGTGGAAACAGAAGAGAGGACAGAAAGGAAGAATATGATTATTAATATTTCTGCTTTGCCAAATTACTGAGAAAAGGCTTTCCCAAGAGAAAGTCAGGGTTAAAGTGCTCAATGCCAGTCCCAGAAGGGTGGTGCCTCAGGGGGACCATACTAAGGAGTCAGTATTGCCCAGAGCGTGTTCCATGCAGTGTCAGAGGCTACTTGAACAAGTGTTCTGAGATCAAGAAAGTGTGGGAAATGCTGGGGTGAACAAAGGCAGGCTTTTCCCCTGAAGTCCTCCCAGGGCACCTGCTGCATCTCCTGGGTGGGGGAGGAGTGGAGGGAGGGGCTCCCTGTCCTTTCAGTGGGGGATCCTTTTTCACTAACAGTCACCCAAGTCCAGTTGTCTGCAAATTTTGGGAAGTGCTTGTTTGACTCTAGTATATTGTACTTTAAAGATAGTATATGTAAGTAATTTTTATAAAGAACACCTGTTTTAAAGAAAATTTGGTAAATAGTTAAAAGATATGGTAAGCAAAATTAAAATCACTCGTAATTGCACCATTGGAAATAACCAGCATTTGGTGTATTTTGGTGTATTTTCTTCCAGACCATTGTTTATATGTGTGTGTCTGTGTATCTATAAAATATGTCTGCATTTTAAAATGGGGATTACAATGTGAGTGTATGCCTGTGTGTGTATGTATATGTATGTAAGGGATTATAGCATATATAGAGTTTTGGGGGTTTTTTTGGTCTTGAATAAAGAACATTTTATTATTAGAGAAAAATATTAGTCCTCGGCTGGGTGCAGTGGCTCACGCTTGTAATCCCAGCACTTTGGGAGGCCAAGGCTGGCGGATCACTTGAGGTCAAGAGTTTGAGACTAGCCTGGCCAGCATGGTGAAACCCCGTCTCTACTAAAAATACAAAAATTAGCCAGGTGTGGTGGTGGGCACCTGTAAACCCAGCTACTGGGGAGGCTGAGGCATGAGAATCACTTGAAACCAGGATGTGGAGGTTGCAGTGAGCCAAGATCGTGCCACGGCACTCCAGCCTGGACGACAGAGCAAGACTTAGTCTAAAAATAAATAAATAAATAAATAGAGGACAAATATTAGTCCTCATGGTAGAGTGCCAATAAAAACGTTTTTTACTATTATTTCATAGAAATCTTTTGATTTTTGAATAATTTAAACATTTTTTGGTAAAGGAAATTCCTAGATACTTTTCATCTAGCCTCCCTAATTTTATCACTACATAGTGTTTTAACTCAGGCTTTTTCTATCTGTAATTAAATTTTTTGCTAACTCTGCATCTACAAAGTGAAGTTTAAATTTTTTTTTTTTTTTTTCACCCGCAGGCTGGAGTGCAGTGGTATGGATCTCAGGCGCACTGCAACCTCCCCCTCCCTGGTTCAAGTAATTCGCTCTTGTTCTCAGTCTTCCCTAAGTAGCTGAATTACAGGCGGCCCCGCCACCACGCCCAGCTATTTTTGTTTTTTTAGTAGAGACGGGGTTTCACCATTTTAGCCAGGCTGTTTGAAACCCTGACCTCAGGTGACCACCTGCTCAGCCTCCCAATGCTTGGATTACAGGCATGAGCACATTGCCCCCAGCTAAATTTTTTCTGTTTTATAAAGCATAACCCATCTCTCTTTTTTCTTCCTAGGTACTATAACAACCAGTACCAACGGTGGGCTGGGTGCAAACCCTGATAGCCGGGCACTATTGTCTGTGGCAAGCCGTCCTGGAAGGCCAACCTCATGAAAGACTCCTGCACGGCATAGATAAGCTCGTGGAGGCGCTGACGGCTGTGGTCACCAGGGAGGAGCCCATTTACATTATCCACCGAAGTACATGCCCAAGGTGATCGTTCCGTCTCACTGCCCAGAGCTTGAAGGGCTTCAAAATCAAAAAGTAGAATGGGTAAGTGTTCAGAGTCACTCCAATAGTTTAATTAATCAAAACAGTATACGACCACTTACTGAAAATCAGGCAATATGGGTAGGACAAAGCAGTTTATAAACCTAATCACCGGACGGTAATCCCATTCACAGATGAAATCTAATCCCCTGTTTCCTCTGTGTTTCTACCTGGGCATGTACCTATGCCCCGAGAATAGTACCCCATATTCTAGGCACCTCCCAATGGAATTATTAGAAATGATATTACTATGTATTTAAGAAAGGAATATTTTTTGTCATATGCTTAAAATGTGAGTTCCCCAGAATTCTAATACTACCAGATTTCAGTACAGATTGGTTGTCAGTACCAAAGTCTCGCTCTTTCATTTTGGTTTTTGTTTTTGTTTTGTTTTTGTTTTTTGGAGACGTCTCACACTGTTTGGCCCGGGCTTACAGTACATGTGGTGCAATCTCTGGCTGTACGGTCAACCTCTGTCTCCCAGTTCAAGCAATTCTTCTGCCTCAACCGTCCCTAAGTAGCTTAGACTACAGGCACATGTGCCGCATGCCCAGCTAATTTTTGTATTTTTTAGTGGGAGATGGGGTTCGGCCACGGTTGGGCCAGGCTGATCTTCGAACCTCCTTGAGCTCAGGCAATCTGCCCGCCACGGCTCCCAAAGTGCTGAGGGATTACGAGGGCATGGAGCACCCAGTCCCTCTTTTGCTCCTTTAGCGGTTATCTTAATATTCATTTTCCTTTCCAGGCACTATTAGATGTTCAGGTGTCACTTTTCAATTTAACAATTTTTTAAACTTGGGGAGGTTAAAGCCTGTGTATCCACGATTGCAGGAGAATAGACTTCACGCAAACATTTTTCTTTTCTTACTGTGATCACCTTTCATATAAGAAGACTGCGAATCAACCATCCCTTCTTCCTGTGTTCCCCTCCAGTTCAGGAACATAGCTAATAAACTGCCAATTATTTTTTTTAAAGTCCTCAGAAGTAATGGAGAAACATAAGCAATGATCCAGGATTAACATCATTTCATGCACAATCGGAGATGATAGTATGATGTCATAGCTGAATAGATTCAAAAGATGGATATTATATTTCTTATTTAATAATCTTGTGAGTATTTCAAATATTCAGTCACTTCAGAGTCCTTCCAACAAGGACATTGTTTGTTTGTTTTAAAGCAACAAACCATTAGCTCTTGTGGCTTTGGTTGCTATAGCCAGAATTCAGGCTCAGAGCCGGACACCTAATAGAGGTTCAGTAAATATGTTTGAATTAATTATACTTAGAATATTCCTTAATGATAGATGTTAATATGAGTTTTCCTATGTGGACAATGCCCTTTTAAATATTATATATATATATATTTTTTTTGAGACAGAGTCTCTCTCTATCATCCAGGCTGGAGGTGCAGTGACACATGGTCTCAA